AGTAGTTTGGGACCTAATATGTCAATGTCTGTGGGTCTACATTTCAGTACCTCAGGTTCTATGAGCCAGAGTTTAAGCAAAAGTTCAAGCTTGAGCTTTAGGCCTACTATTTCATTGTCTATGGGTCCAAGCTCATGCCAGAGGTCTTACAGTACAGGACCTAGTCTATCAAGTTTCGTCACTTCAAGTCTTAACATCCCAAGCTTAAGTAGTTCAAGTTTAAATTCTGCAAGTTCAAGCTCAAATCAGAGTTCTATCAGCTCAGTTCTAAGTAGGATGGGACCTAGCATACTGAAGACGAACAGCTTAAGTCTTAGTAACCTTGATCTAAGTTCAAGTTACAACAGTTCAAGACTGAGCAGTTTGAGTCCGAACATTGTAATTTCTGTTAGTTCTAGTTCAAGCCTAACTTCCAACAGCTCAAGTGTAAAGAGCCTGCTACATAATATGCAAATGTCTGTGAGTCCAAGCACAAATTTGTGTTCTAGCAGCTTATTTCGAAGTAGTTCAGGATCAAGTCTAAGTATCTCAAGTTTGTTTTTTTCTGGTCCAAGCATCTCCAGTATCAGATGTTCAAGTTTTATCAGTTCATGTTCAAGTATTTCATTTTCTATGATTTCTAGCAGCATAGATGTTGGTGTTTTTGGATCTAACATCCCAGGTTTGAACAGTTCAAGTCTTCATACCTCAAGTCTAAAGAGTTCAAGTTATAGCAGATCAAGATTAGATAGTTCAAGCTCTCCAGGCTCAGAGTGTTCAATTCTTAGTATCCCAAATTCATCAGGTTCTTTAAGACGAGAGTTACAATTGAATTCCAGTAGCTCAATGGGACCAATCACTTCAATGTCTGTGAGTTCAAGCTCAAGTAGCTTGAGTCTCAGTGATTTAGTGTCCTTTAGTCTGAGCTCAAAACAATATTCTAGCAGCTTAGGTCATAGAAGTTTGAGACCTAGCATTTCACTTCCTGTAAGTTCAGAATCTAGTCTGTGTTCCTACAGCTTAATTCAAAGTAGTTCAGTTCCTAGCGCATTGAATATCATCATAAGTACTTCTGAAGCAAGCTTTATCACCTCAAGTTTCAGCAGTTCAAGCAGTTCAAGATTAAATAGCTTTAGCCTTATTTCCCTTCACTCCAGTGATTCAAATTTGAATTCAAATATTTCAGTTTCTATGAGTCCAAGCTCAAATCAAATTACAGTTTCAAGCACTGAAAGTCAAAGCAGCTCAAGTCATAGTAGTCATTGCTTTTATAGTTCAAGACTAGGCAGCTCAGAACTACATAGTTCAAGTGTTAATATCCTGTACTCATGTCATTCAAGTCTAAGTACCCTTTACTCAAATAGTTCAAGTCTTCACAGTTCAGAATTAAGTAGTACAAGCATTACTATCCTGTTCTCAAGTCGATCTGGTCCAAGTACCCCTTGTTCAAATAGTTCAAGCCTTAGTATACCAAGTTTGATTGGTTCAAATGCTAGCAACTTATTTTCAAGCCTTTCAATCTCTAGAAGCTTTGGCCAATGTAGTTCAGGGTCTAGCACCCTAAGTTCAAACAGCCAAGGTCTCAATATCTCAAGCATTAGCAGTTCAAGTCTCAGTTGTCCAACTAAAAGTACACCAGGTTTAGGGCTATATTCTAGCAGCTCAAGTCAAAGTAGTTTCAGTCCAATTGTTTCAGTATCTGTAATATCAAGCTTAAGTCTTAGCAGCTCTGTTCTAAACAGTTCAGAATCTAGCAGTTTCAGTATTATTGCCATAATGTTAAGTTCAAGTATGTCAGCTTCTGTCAACGTAAAGTCTAATATCAGTTTAAGCAGCTTAGTTCCAAGTAAGTTCGGATCTAGCATCCCAAATTCAAGCAGTATAAGTCTAAGTAGCCCCAAACCTAATATTCTAAGCAGCAGTTCAAGTTTTAATAATCCTAACTCAAGCCTTCCTGTGCATAGCTTAAGTAGTTCAAGTTATAGCATTCTAGTAAGTCCCAGCATACCAATTTTAAGCACTTCAAGTCATAAGGGCTCAAGCTTAAGTGGTTCAAGTTTCAGTCATTCAAGCTCAAGCATTAGTCAAGCTGATAGTATTTCAATTCCCAGCAACCCAAGTTTTAGCAATTCAAGTCAGAGCAGCTCAAACTTAAGTAATTTGAGATCTAGCAGTCTAAATTTGAGTATGTCAGTTTCTAGAAATCCAAGTTTATGTAGTTCAAGTTCTTGCAGCTCAAGCTTCAGCAGTTTAGTTATTGTTGGTTCAAGCTTAAGTGTTTCAAGGTCTGTTATTTCAAGTCCTAGCAGTCGAAGTATAAGATTTTCTGTTCACCCAAGTTTAAGTATTTCGAGTCCAAGTAAGTCCTTTACTATGACTTTATTCATATATCATTCATAGTATTACTACTATTATTACCAATACTATTGTCATGATAATTATTCCAATTTTAACATCCTTGTCTTTCTTACTACTGCCACCATAATGTTTATTATGACTAATATTACACCTGGAATGCATGTTAATAATTGATGTTCTGAACGTGTTAAGGAAAGAAACATATATAATCGACCCCACATTCAAATGAAAATCAAATAAAAGGGAAACAAGGCAAAAGGTTTCAAATAGTAAGTGGACATATTTACTGCAAATAATGTTGTATTAGCATAGTAGCTATTCATTGCATTTGTCCACAGGCTCCAGTAGTACAACTTCTTTCAGTTCAAGTATCTCAAGCTCTAGCATATCTAGTAAACCTGGCTGTAGCAGCTCAACTAGCAGTTCTGGGTCAAGTAGTTTGGTATCTAGTTTAAGTAAGTTTATGGTATGGTATTCGTTTTGTATTTCTACATACATTTCAAACACATGTATATAATTTCATATATATATATATATTTATATATATATATGTGTGTGTGTGTGTGTATATGTATATATATATAGATAGATAGACACACACACACACACACACATACACACACTGTATGCGATATATATATATATATATATATATATATATATATATATATATATATATATATATATATATATATATATACATATATATATACACATACACACACACACACACACACACACACACACACATATATATATATATATATATATATATATATATATATATATATATATATATATACATATATATGTATATATATACTATATATATATATATATATATATATATATATATATATATATATATATATATATATATATATAGTTATACATATATGTAAATAAATGTATATATATGTGTGTATGTATATAGAGACACACACGCATATATATATATATATATATATATATATATATATATATATATATATATATATATATATATGTATATATATATTTATACATATTTGTAGAAAAGGTATGAATAAGAAGGTATATCTTTACAATACAAGAGATGTATTTAGCTGGTTTCGATTATATTGAAGATATTGAATGCATTGGTTTCGAATTTCTAAACCAATTTCCACCGAGTGCCCACGTCTGTGTAAAACCTCACAACCATTATCCATGTATGAGTTGATAAGTAATATCTTTAGAGCTAATTAGATCGTAGTTACACACTCCTTTTAGTGGTATGGTTGGTTTATTACCGGTCATCCTGATTCATATCCGGAGTGACCTAGGTTCGAGGCCCGGTAAGGGAAGGTTGTTATATATTCATCTATATTCATATACAAATGAATATATACACACACACATAAATGTATGTGCATATACACATGCGTTTATGATATTACATACACATATATAATACACATGGTATATGATACACATTGTTCTTATATGAGAGAGAGAGAGAGAGAGAGAGGAAGAGAGCGAGGGAGAGAGGAAGAGAGCGAGAGAGAGAGAGAGGAAGAGAGCGAGAGAGAGAGAGAGGAAGAGAGCGAGAGAGAGAGAGAGGAAGAGAGCGAGAGAGAAAGAGAGGAAGAGAGCGAGAGAGAGAGAGAGAGAGGAAGAGAGCGCGAGAGAGAGAGAGGAAGAGAGAGAGAGAGAGAGGGAAAGAGAGAGAGAGAGAGAAGGAAAGAAAGAGAGAGAGAGAAGGAAAGAGAGAGAGAGAGAGAGAGAGATAGAAGGAAAGAGAGAGAGAGAGAGAGAGGGAGAGAGAGATGGGATCGGAGAAAAGAAAATGAGAACATTGTCAATGTTACTGAACAAAAGAATTCATATTTTCTGTTAAGGGAAACAGCAAGGTGAGCCATCGTTTAATGGAAAGACGCAATTCAGAAGTTACTGAAACACTGCGAATATGTAGTTCAAAACAATATTATACATATGTGATTAAGCACTGGTGTATACATGGGATAGCTGCTGATCCTGGTCCTGGGTTTATATCTGACCAGTTTCCCCTAGTCAAATAAGTTGTTGAGTGCTGTTATCAGCTCTTTAGTTAATTCAGAAAGGAATTGGTCATACTACAGCTTCGGTCCGCGGCTTAGTATGCATGTTTATGTATGGTGATTTGGGCCCATTTTTGAGATTTTAAAATTCGTCTGACCACTCCATGTTCACATAGAAGTATGGGCATGGGGTAAAGGTATGAGCTGTACACTGACTCTTTAGAATTCATCTAACCACTCCATTCATCCCTCCAGGCTACCATCCACTGTAAACCATGGTTGTTGGCAATGAAACAGTGCTTATCTTAACCAGTGTCACCATTAATGCCATGAACATCATCATTATCACTCATCACCACTGGCATAATCATTGCTCCTGTCAGCTTTGTCAGTCTTCCGGTTTGTCATCAAACTCGACTCCAGCCAGATGCCAGCTGTTGCTCAAGTACATGTAAATGTTATTAAGTATGAGTCAGCCACTGCAGAAGGTTTAGAAAACGAAAATACCTGTTTTGTTCAGAGTAGAAATTATATAAATGTACCTTCATTACTGTGCACTTACAGGAAAAAGAAAAAAAGGAAAAAAAGGCCCATGGTTCTTTTTTCTATTTATCTGTTTATTCATTTGCTTGTTTTATTCCACAGGTTCAAGTTCTAGTAGCTCTAGTTCCAGTAGTTCAAGTTCAAGTAGTTCAAGCTCAAGTAGTTCTAGTTCAAGTAGTTCAAGCAGCTCAAGTTCCAGTAGCTCTAGCAGCTCAAGTTCAAGTAGTTCCAGCTCAAGTAAGTAAAAATATGACATATAATTCAAGAAATATAGACTTTATCAACCCTCTCGTGCATGGAGAGTTGCTAATCAGCAGCTCAGCTCAACAGAACAATACGTTTTCTATTTGCATTTAAGATGTACCGGAAAGAGAACTTAATTGTTGGTGCATCGATAAGTGAACAGTATCATGTGTCTCCATAAGATTTGGAATATAGTACATAGGATACATGTGCACGGGAGGGTTAAATGCAACCTTTTTGTACTCTTTTTGATTTTTACTGTGATCTGTAGTTCCTTACAGATTTTCACTCCCCTTTTTCCGTTAAATTCTTACTAGATAATTTTATCGATAAATGTAATTGTTGATTTTGAGATATTCATGATAGTTGTAGCAAATATGTTGGATTTTGTCTAATTATTTCCTTGAAGATCAATCAATATTCGTTATTCTCAGGCTCAAGTGGAAGTAGTAGAAGTAATATTGTTTCAAGCAATTCTCAGTCAAGTTCTTTGAGTATCATTTCAAGCATATCTACTTCAGTCAGTGAACCTTGCAGCTCTGAATCAAATAGCCAGAGCAGTTTGAGTTCTGTTATATCAGTTTCAAGAAGTGAATTTGGTACATGTTCAAGTAGTATCAGCACTTCTTGTAGTAAATCCACATCAAGCAGCCTTGGCAGTCAAATGACTCAAAGCTTAATAAGTCCAAGCAGCTCAGACTGCATAATGGTATCAAGTAGTATAAATAACATTGTTTCAAGCAGTTCTATGTTGAGTAGCTTGAACATTATTCAAAACCTATCTAGTTCAGTCAGTGAATGTTCACAAAGGGAGGTATGCTCCACTTCAAGTAGTTCCATTTATTCCTCATGTATACCAAGTAGCCTTGTCTCAACAAGTTCAAGTTGTGTTAGGTCATCTTCTCTAAGAATTGAAAGTAGCTCCTCTTCAGGCAGAAAATCTCTTCCCAGCAGTTCTATATCAAGCTTATTAAGTCTCAGTAAATCTTGTAGTGCACTGATATCGAGTAGCTGTGCAGGCAACAGAAGTAGTATTGCTCCCAGCAGCTTTGAGTCAAGTAGCCAGGGCAGTTTGAGTTCTGTTATTTCAGTTTCAAGAAGTAGTTCATGTTCCAGCAGTATCAGTGCTTCTTGTGGAAAATCTATATCAAGCAGCCAACACAGTCCAAGCTCAATCAGTCGAAGCAGTTCAAGCAGCATAATGGTATCGTATAGTTCTGGAATTACAAGTAGTATTGTTTCAAGCAGTTCTATGTCGAGTAGCTTGAGCATTGTTCAAAACATATCTAGTTCAGGCAGTGAAAGTTCACTAAGAGAAGTGAGCTCCTCTTCAAGTAGTTCCATTTATTCCTCATGTATACCAAGTAGCCTTGTTTCAACAAGTTTCAGTTGTGTTAGTCCTTCTTCAAGCATTGGAAGTAGCTCCTTCTTAAGCAGTAAATCTCTCCCCAGCAGTTCTATTTCAAGCTTAATAAGTCTCAGTAAACTATGTAGTGCACTGATATCAAGTAGCTGTACAGTCAGGGGAAGTAATATTGTTTCCAGCAGCTCTGAGTTAAGTAGCCAGAGCAGTTTGAGTTCTGTTATATCAGTTTCAAGAAGTTCAAGTTCATGTTCAAGCATTATTAGTAAATCCATAACAAGCAGCCATGGCAGTCCAAGCTGCTCAAGCAGCATAATGGTATCATGTAGTTCTCCTGGAAGCATAAGTACTATTGTTTCAAGCAGTCCTTTGTCAAGTAGTTTGAGTAGTAATCCATATGTATCTAGTTCAGTTAGTGAATGTTCACTAAGAGAAGTGAGTTCCTCTTCAAGTAGTTCCATTTATTCCTCATGTATACCAAGTAGCCTTGTTTCAACAAGTTCCAGTTGTGTTAAGCCATCTTCTCTAAGAATTGAAAGTAGCTCTTCCTCAAGCAGTAAATCTCTTTCTAGCATTTCTATTCCAAGTTCAATGAGTCTCAGTAAATCCTGCAGTGCAATGATATCAAGTAGCTGTTCGGGCAGTGGAAGTAATATTGTTTCCAGCAGCTCTGAATCGAGTAGCCAGAGTAGTTTGAGCTCTATTATATCAGTTTCAAGAAGTACATTGATATCAAGTTGCTGTTCAGGCAGTGGAAGTAATATTGTTTCCAGCAGTTCTGAACCAAGTAGCCAGAGCAGTTTGAGTTCTGTTATTTCAGTTTCAAGAAGTAGTTCATGTTCTAGCAGTATCAGTGCTTCTTGTGGAAAATCTATATCAAGCAGCCAACACAGCCCAAGCTTTACAAGCTCAATCAGTCAAAGCAGTTCAAGTAGCATGAAGGTATCATGTAGTTCTGGAATTACAAGTAATATTGTTTCAAGCAGTTCTATGTCGAGTAGCTTGAGCATTGTTCAAAACATATCTAGTTCAGTCAGTGAATGTTCCTTAAAAGAAGTGAGCTCTTCTTCAAGTAGTTCCATTTATTCCTCATGTACTCCAAGTAGCCTTGTTTCAACAAGTTCCAGTTGTGTTAGGCCATCTTCTCTAAGAATTGAAAGTAGCTCTTCCTCAAACAGTAAATCTCTTTCTAGCATTTCTATTCCAAGTTCAATAAGTTCCAGTAAATCCTGCAGTGCAATATCAAGTAGCTGTTCAGGCAGTGGAAGTAATATTGCTTCCAGCAGCTCTGAGTCAAGTAGCCAGAGCATTTTGAGTTCTGTTATATCAGTTTCAAGAAGTTCAAGTTCATGTTCAAGCATTATTAGTAAATCCATATCAAGCAGCCGTGGCAGTCCAAGCATTACAAGCTCAAGTAGTACAAGCTGCTCAAGCAGCATAATGGTATCATGTAGTTCTCCTGGAAGTATAAGTACTAATGTTTCAAGCAGTCCTTTGTCAAGTAGTTTGAGTAGTATTCCATATGTATCTATTTCAGTCAGTGAATGTTCACTAAGAGAAGTGAGTTCCTCTTCAAGTAGTTCCATTTATTCCTCATGTACTCCAAGTAGCCTTGTTTCAACAAGTTCCAGTTGTGTTAGGCCATCTTCTCTAAGAATTGAAAGTAGCTCTTCCTCAAACAGTAAATCTCTTTCTAGCATTTCTATTCCAAGTTCAATAAGTTCCAGTAAATCCTGCAGTGCAATATCAAGTAGCTGTTCAGGCAGTGGAAGTAATTTTGTTTCCAACAGCTCTGAATCGAGTAGCCAGAGTAGTTTGAGCTCTATTATATCAGTTTCAAGAAGTAAAATGATATCAAGTAGCTGTTCAGGCAGTGGAAGTAATATTGTTTCCAGTAGTTCTGAACCAAGTAGCCAGAGCAGTTTGAGTTCTGTTATTTCAGTTTCAAGAAGTAGTTCATGTTCTAGCAGTATCAGTGCTTCTTGTAGTAAATTTGCATCGAGCAGCCAACACAGTCCAAGCTTTACAAGCTCAATCAGTCGAAGCAGTTCAAGCAGCATAATGGTGTCATGTAGTTCTGGTTCTGGAATTACAAGCAGTATTGTTTCAAGCAGTTCTATGTCGAGTATCTTGAGCATTGTTCTAAACATATCTAGTTCAGTCAGTGAATGTTCACTAAGAGAAGTGAGCTCCTCTTCAAGTAGTTCCATTTATTCCTCTTGTATACCAAGTAGCCTTGTTTTAATAAGTTCCATTTGTGTTGGTCCATCTTCAAGCGTTGAAAGTAGCTCCTTCTCAAGCAGAAAATCTCTTCCCAGCAGTTCTATATCAAGCTTAATAAGTCTCAGTAAATCATGTAGTGCACTGATATCAAGTAGCTGTACAGGCAGTGGAGGTAATATTGTTTCCAGCAGCTCTCAGTCAAGTAGCCAGAGCAGTTTGAGTTCTGTTATATCAGTTTCAAGAAGTTCAAGTTCATGTTCAAGCATTATTAGTAAATCCATATCAAGCAGCCGGGGCAGTCCAAGCATTACAAGCTCAAACAGTCCAAGCTGCTCAAGCAGCATAATGGTATCATGTAGTTCTCCTGGAAGTATAAGTACTATTGTTTCAAGAAGTCCTTTGTCAAGTAGTTTGAGTAGTATTCCATGTGTATCTAGTTCAATTAGTGAATGTTCACTAAGAGAAGTGAGCTCTTCTTCAAGTAGTTCCATTTATTCCTCATGGAAATAATATTGTTCCAGCAGCTCTGAATCGAGTAGCCAGAGTAGTTTGAGCTCTATTACATCAGTTTCAAGAAGTACAATGATATCAAGTTGCTGTTCAGGCAGTGGAAGTAATATTGTTTCCAGTAGCTCTGAATCAAGTAGCCAGAGCAGTTTGAGTTCTGTTATTTCAGTTTCAAGAAGTAGTTCATGTTCTAGCAGTATCAGTGCTTCTTGTAGTAAATCTACATCGAGCAGCCAACACCGTCCAAGCATGACAAGCTCAATCAGTCGAAGCAGTTCAAGCAGCATAATGGTATCATGTAGTTCTGGAATAACAAGTAGTATTGTTTCAAGCAGTTCTATGTCGAGTAGCTTGAGCATTGTTCAAACCATATCTTGTTCAGTCAGTGAATGTTCACTAAGAGAACCGAGCTCTTCTTCAAGTAGTTCTATTTATTCCTCATGTATACCAAGTAGCCTTGTTTCAACAAGTTCCAGTTGTGTTAGTCCATCTTCAAGCATTGAAAGTAGCTCCTTCTTAAGCAGTAAATCTCTTCCCAGCAGTTCGATATCAAGCTTAAGTTTCAGTAAACCATGTAGTACACTGATATCAAGTAGCTGTACAGGCAGTAGAAGTAATATTGCTTCCAGCAGCTCTGAGTCAAGTAGCCAGAGCAGTTTGAGTTCTGTTATATCAGTTTCAAGAAGTGAAATTGGCTCAAGTAGTTCATGTTCAAGCATTATTAGTAAATCCATATCAAGCAGCCATGGCAGTCCAAGCATTACAAGCTCAAGTAGTACAAGCTGCTCAAGCAGCATAATGGTATCATGTAGTTCTCCTGGAAGTATAAGCACTATTGTATCAAGCAGTCCTTTGTCAAGTAGCTTAAGTAGTATTTCATATGTATCTAGTTCAGTCAGTG